CTTATTTAAAGAGTTTGTCCCAGGTGATCTCTTCTCAGGGAAAAAGAAGCGGAGAGAGAAAGCTCCAAGGTGTAGAGACAGCTTTCCTTTAACACACGCAGTAAAAATGAGTGGCATTTGTCCTCCATTGTCCTTCATAAGGATCCTAATTGACCCATATTTTTTATTTTCACATCTGCTTACCCTAGTTAGTAACTACAGTCAGTAATATTCTATTTCTAAAGCACCTTCAACAGATATCGAAATGACAGAATTCCTCACGACGAAAAACACCATAAACTCAGAAACACAGACATGCTTTAGTTGATGTGTGTCTAATTAAAGATGTTTCTTGAAATGACTAGATGCTGTGAAACGCAGAGACAGCAGGAGAGCACTTCCTGCAGAGCATGTCCTGAAAAGACAGAAGCGAACCTCAACCAATCCAATCTTTTCAAATTTTCTAGATCTCAATATTTGGATGCTTTATAAATCAGGAACTTAGCCACATGTAATGTCAGACGTGTGAAAAACTCAATAGTTTCGCCAGACTCAGAAGCAATATCTCAGACTAAAAACTCAACATCTTGTATTAAAACATCAAACATTTTGAGCCCCTATAAATACTGTTGGGTTCACTCATTTGCAATATGAGCTTCAATAAGTGTCGATTACAAATAACTCGTCAGAATACTTTGAACCAACCCCTAATTTAACCACCCAAAATAAATTTTCCCTTTGATATAATATTCTAAGCCTTAATGTTGGTTATTCATTAGCTGTAAGCAAATATTTCACATCATATACAGGAATAAAGGCTTGAGAACATAAACTCTGTGTTTATTTAATCAACATCATTTACTTCACCTAATGATTCCATTCCATTTTCCATCACACTTATCCCTGCAGGGGTGGCGAGGGGTGCTGGTGCCTATCTCCAGCTGTCTACGGGTGAGAGGCGGGGTTCACTCCAGTCCATCGCAGGGCAACACAGAGGCAAACAGGACAAATGGAGAATTTAGAGAAGCCAATTAACCTAAAGGTCGTGTTTTTGGACCGTTGGAGGAAGCCTGAGTACCCAGAGAGAACCCACGCATGCTCAGGTAGAACATGCAACCTCCATGCAGAAAGAACCCGGGCCGGGAATCGAACCCGGAACCTTCTTGTTGCAAGGCACTACAGCTAGTCATCCGGGTCATAGTGATTCCAAAAAAAGGAAATTAAAAACAATCTACTGGACTTTGTTTCCAAGTTTGAAGACGTTCAACTTCCCATCCAGGAAGCTTTTTCCATTCAAAATGTCAGAAATAACGTTGAGTTCGAGGTTTTATTCAGTAGCCCAACAAAGTCTTGTTTATGTTCGGAAAACATGCAAATTGAATCCGACGGACGGGTCCACTCCTTTGGAATGGGGGTCGTTTGGCCAACAATTCCCTTTAATGACCCCCATTTCAGACCCTTAAACGGGTATGGGGCATTGCAGGGGAACAAAGAAGAACAAGCCCCATATTCCAAAGGGGTGGACCCCTTCATCCGTTTCATTTTGCATGTTTTTTAAAACAAAAACAAGGCTTAGTTGGGCTGCTGTATAAAACCTCAAACTCAACGCTATTTCTGACATTTTGAATTGAGAAAGCTTTCTGGATGGGATGCTAAATGTCTTCAAACTTGGAAACAAAGTGCAGTGGATTGTTTTTTATTTTCTTCTTTTGGAATGCCTACTTATGTCATGGTTTTGGTTCTGTTAAGTTTTCTTTTGAGTATTCAGTTTTACTTTGCTCAATGTTTTATGGTTTTATTGGTTTAATTCCTATTTTGTTTTGTTTTCTGGATGTATTTGAGTTCTTACAGTAGGTTTCTCTTTGTTGCCCTCTTGTGTTGGTCTCCTTTTCCATAGCTGCCTTCTAGAATCCTCTGTTCACACCTGCTCCCAATCTGCTCATTAGTCCTGTCTCTGTTCTGTCTCCTATATATACTCTCCCTGTGCAGTTCCTCAGTGCTGGTTCCTCGTCTTCCTGGCTCATAGTGTATGTTTTCCCTGATGTCTCCAACGGTCTGTTTTTTCTGTATTTTGTTATGTTGGGTTTTTTGGGTTCCTGCCTCAGTTGCCTGTGATTATAGCCTGACGTAGTCCTACTCAATTCTAGTCAGAATATGAGTCTGTTGCTGCTCCATAGAGCTGTGATTATGGGGCGTGTTTC